CATTTTTACTGAGTGCTTTAGATCCTCATTCTATCTCGTTTTTCTTTTTTATATTCATTCGCACAATAAATATATGTGCATACATTGAGAGATTTATTGTGCAAACGTAAACATTTAAAAGAACATATATTCTATTTAATTTTTTATATTTTATATGATGATGATTATGCTGATGTTCTTGTTGCTGTCGCATTTGAATTGAAGACGTTTATAATAACTTCGAAACATGGTTATTGAATGTCTGCAGTCATTAAAAATTTCGGAGAAACACCTTAATTGATATGAGACATACAGCAAGGATCATGAGAAATTGACTTGAAAGAGTGAGTTCGTTTACATTTAAATTGCACTTGTGTGTGATACTCTAGATAAATTTGTAGACATTGACTTTTTGTTGTCTACATTTTGTCTGAATTCTTTGAAATTGTTTTATTGGTTCACTTATTTCTTTCATTTTTGGAGGAAAATTTTTGTAATTGTAGTTTAATTAAATCATACCAAACGGTTTTATTGTAATATAACGTCTTTATTCTTTTGAGTTCGTAAACAGACTGAATATTTATACCTTGTTTTTTCGTTATAAGCTAGTAGCTTAGGGGCTGTTCATTTATTACGTAACGCGAAAAAAGGACTTTTTAGACTCCCCCCCCCCCTCGTAATAAAATTTGTATGAAAAAAAAATTTCCTTGTTTGTACCGTAACAAAATGTTCTACCCCCCTCCCCCCCTAAAAGCGTTACGTAATAAGTGAATGGCCCCTTAGAAGAATAAAAAAGTAATTTTTTTGGCTCACTAGTAGCTTAGTAACGAGTAGTAGCTTATAACGAAAAAACAGGGTATGAAAAGGGACAAACAACTAGATTACAAATAAATACAATCTAAATTACAAATGAACGTTATTCCAAGAAGAGGTGTCAAAGATTATTTAATGATGAGAGAGAGGCTTAAGTGTCGTTTTTGCGTTACATAATAAGTCAACGAGCCCTAAGAATTATGAATTAAATTTTAACTAATTAAATTATTTCCTTGAAAATTCATCAAAAATATTTGGATCTAATTAATAAGCACCACAAGCTTATGGAATGAATCAAATTTCATATATTTCAGACAAATTTTAATTATAATTTATAATGACACAAAATCTAATTAGTTTTCTCCTTCTTTGAATATGAAAACTTATTGTCTATTGGAAACATACATTTCAATTTTCATTAGCAATAATGTACAATTATGAGAAAATTTTCTAATTTAATCAAAGTGTTCAATATGAGGTTCAGAGATAAAGATGTTCTGTTGCTATTCATAGTCTCATGTGGTAGAAAATTTCAATAAATGTAAACTTACTAAGATGCAATTTACAAATATTATTTACATGAGAACTTTAATTTGATAAGTTCTTAAAACTTTATCTCTTAATTATATAAATAAATTCAATTCAAATGAATTCTTACTTCCAACAAAAACCATTAATTAAAACAGTTTGGTTCAATAATTCTCAGATTACAAATTGTTTACAAAATTTGTTAATCTTGAATTGGTTATGGAAGTGAATTCACCACTGAGTCTCCTCTAGTTGTTAATTATTCCGTCTTCTCGTTAAAAGTCGTTATAGTATGTACTCGATGTTACAATAATGAAAACTTAAAATCCAATTAAAATTGCCAAACTTTCAATGATTGTTTATTTGTTTGTACTGCCAGCATAACTACAATTCTTGAAAGTTTAAATCAAGTTTTTGTTTACTTACGAAAACCAATTTGGATTTTGAAAGAAATAAAATAATATCCAAAACTCGTAAAGTTACTTTTATTATATTCAAAAACCTAGTTAAAAAGGAACAACTTTACATACAGCTGAAGAAAGTTTCGTTCATGCTTATGACTAAAGGTGCTTTAGTAGTTTGATGAATCAATCTATTGAAAGGTTTTAAATTAAACAAATAAATTGATAAAAATTAAAATTTTATTTGGTTTTCTTCATCTTTGTAAGGTTTTTTGTTTACAAAACAATGCACTTAAGACAGCGAATCTCGATAAATGAACGAAATAAATGAACAACCTTAATGCCACACACACATTCACACATTTATTTAAATGTACTCGAATATTGAATCAGTGCTTTACTCAATGACTTTTTTAACGACATTCTCTTCTAAATGGGCAAGATCAGAAAAAAAGGGAATAAATATTCAAATTCAGATTTCTCTGCTTTTAATAACTTAATTAATATGATTCCTTCACTACATGATAGCTAATAATAGTAAGTTTCTTTTTAACATTCATTTTTCAAAATGGCGACTTATTAAGTTAGTTTAATTAACAAATTAATATTTTAAATCAATTTTTCTTTGAAATGAAAGCAAGATAAAAGTTTGGAAGCTTCACAAAAGTTGTAGAGCTTGCTTTTTTCTATCATATGATCAAAATAGATTTTATTAAAAATGAGTTATTTTAGTTAAATTAACTGACAACCAAATTGAATGTAAAATGTATTTTTAAATCAAAACTATTAACCTTAATCGGTCAAGAACAATTACTTGATATCTAAAGAGTCTTTTACTATTTAATTTACATTAGAAAAAGGCTTAAAAGTAAGTTAAATTAACTATAAAAACAATGAAATTTAAGTTGAGCAACAAATTTTGCTCTTATTTGCTCACAAATTTATAATTTTAAAAACCGTTACAAAATTTTTGGTCAAATTTTTTACTATAATTTAATTTTCTCTGCTTGTCTTGAACAAAAAGTAATATTTCTTTTGCAATATGATAAACATTGTTGAATTCTATAGTTTGAAATGAAAAAATCAGTAGACGAATAACACAGCAATGACTTATGACTAGTTTTGTAAAACTCATCATAACTTGGTTAACTATAGTAGAATTGAAAATTTTCTCTCACAAACTTAAAGAAAATTACATATGTAACCTTTTTTGTAAAGAAAGATAGTTCCTAAACTATTTCCTTCATATCAAAATTTCAGCTTCAACATTTTAAAGCTGAATTAAGCTAACTTACAAATCCGCCATTTTGTATATTTTAGACAAAACTTTTAATGATCTGATTACTTAATTATCTGGTGAAAAAATCGTTATGGTTAATGAAGTATTCGCAGAGATATTACATTTGCAACATGGTGTAAAATCGAATTTCCTCAAAATTGTTCGTGACGCTTAGCACTTTATATTAATTTTTAATTATAATACAATGTCTAAGAGATACTTGTTATACACCAAAATATAGGTCTTGGCAAGGACTTTAAGAAAAACACAAGTCTTAAATACATATTTCGCATTATTGATTCAAAAATTGTAAATTATTGTTAAGCGTCACGAACAATTCATTTTTGATCTTGCCCAAATAATGTTTGTTTTGAGGCAGTTTCGCAGTGATGAAAGAATTACTTTTTTTACAGCGACAGCTACTTTTAGATAACTCATTCGTTAAAGAGAAAAAAGAATCATAAAATTTTCTTCTAAATGATTCTCGTGTCTCGTAAAACTTTTCTTTTCTTGTTCTTCTCTGAATGAGAATAAAGGAGAGGAACATTCTTGTTTTGCATTAAAAGTTTTTTCTCCTTCTTTTTTTTGCCAGATTTTAATGTCTCATTTTAAAAGCGTCTCGTAAAATTTTCCAGCAGTAAAACTTTCTCCACTCCTTGTTTCTCTTTTTTTATATTATTAGGAATTTATATGTTGTTGTAAGCTTTTGCATGCTTCTTTTTCATTTATCGTATCTCCCCACATATAAAAATGATAAACTCTCTTATTCTCTGTTCTCTGTCTTTCTTCTTCTTAGTTTTTTTTTTCATTTTTGTCGTAAACAAATGAGATGGTTCTTTTTAAATATTCACACTCAGTTTATTAACATAATTTTCTTGTGCATAATAAATTTTACATTCAAATTGTGTAAAGGAAAGAAATCCTTTCATTCTCAAATTTTTACGATTCTTTAATAATTTGACGCGACTTTCTCGGGCAGATATTTCTTTCTTTCCTAATCTTTCCGAAAATTGATCAATTTTTTAACATTTTTTCAGTCTGAAACTGAAATATTTGTGCTCACACCTTTACATTACAGTCGAATTTTATTCCTGAGTGACAATTAATGATGTATTCATCACCTTATTCCCAAACATGTCTGGATGTTATGATGAAAAATCGTTTATTTGCATTCAAAAGTTTCAATTGTCATATTTGAAAAGCTCCAGACATGAAATGTTTTTCAACTTGCTAGATGTGATGATTTACATTCTCATTCCATTATTACTTACTTTTCCTCCTCTCTTTTTTTGCATATCTGTATCATCTTATTATTTTTTGTTGTAGATACACTTTTAACGTCATATTTCATGATGAATAATTTTAATTCCTTTACCATCCTTGCTCTTTTGCCATCCCATTCCATTCGTACCAAAAATAAGGTATTTAATTTTTTATGCATCTATAATCCGTATCCCGGTGATGTGCATAGTTATAACTATGTGATTGTGTTGTAACCAAGCAAAAATTTTTGCTGCATGCAGTAACAAGCAAACAGGATGAGAGGAGCTTTAGCAGTGTTTTACAAATATATTTTCTTCTTCTCTGCATCACTCGTGAAAAAAGAAGTAAATTTAATTGTGAAAGCTAAGTTGTAAATGAAAGGATTGAGCGCATTAAGCTAGTAACAGGCGCGTAGCCAGAAGGGTCTTGCCCTCTTCTTAAGCGTTTTAGGCCGTGCTCTCGCTGTGGTGTAAAACGTTTAAGGGGAGGACAAGACCCTCCTGGCTACTCACCTGGCTGGTAAAGTTATGATTGGTCAGAATATCCTTAGATGCGTTTGATTTTGTAGTTTTGAAACTGTTACGGTAATGGATCATATCTTTCATAGAAATCATCAAGAAACTATGCGCTCTAAGTAAGTTTAAGTATAAAGTTTTATATAGATCCATACTGTCAAGGACAAAGCGATTCATGTCTCACTAATGATATTCACATGAAAAATTAAAGAAAAGTGAATCATGCGAGTGAATGGAAAAATTTTGAATAATGGGGAAAATTACAGAAAATATAATTATAGACGAGTGAGGCATGGTATAGCTGTAAATGAAAGAGCACGTCTCTTTACCTATTATCCTGATTCTGATGATGATAGTAATGATGATGATGATGTCTATGCATGCATGTATGTATGTATGTTTAAGGGATCCAAAAGCATAAAATGCTATGAGATGGAAAAGTGGGTTAACCTCATTTAGGTTTGAATGCTCATTTTTAATACGTTTATGGATGTATTGTTCATGATGCTCATAACAAACTACAGACATGTATACAAACACATGTAATTTAACATGATGAAGAATGAAGTAAAACTTTTTTCCATCTCATTCTCACTCGGTTCTGGTAAGCTCCTCTGTGCTTTATGTCTCAGAAAATCCGCAAAAACCGCAAAAAGGAGAAAAATGAAAAATGAATAAATTGAAAGAAAAACTTACAATCCTCACCAACTACAATATTTGTTGGACAATTTAAATAGTGTTTCCATAAAGTTGATGTTGACTTTGTTCTGGTATTTGTATACTTTTCTTTGGTCACACTATACAAATGAAGTGGTTTCCATTTGAACTATTACAAGCACTCACAAAAACTTTAATGACTTTAATGTAAATTCTGCTTTGAGAATTAAAGTTTAATGATCTCTTCCAATGACTTTTCTTACAAATGTTCTACAGACTTGAACTTAAATTATATGAATTGCATGGTGTGCACCCTGAGCGACATAAAATAGGAACAAGCAGCCTTTTGGAATCCATATAAGATGCCATTGCAGATCAAACAAAAACAAACTCTTCCACATCCTCAATATGAGCTTCATCGAAAAATATTTCACAGTTTTTGCTTTAATGCAATACAATTGGCTATAAATTATGTCAAGGACAAGTGACAGATTGTGGCAAATAATTTATAAGGCAAAATCATTGAAAGCATTTGGTTCATGCAAGTGAATTATTCTCAATAAAAGGGTATAATCATATGTTGTATAAATGATGAACACGACACATAATGTGCAATAATAATTTATAGTGCTATAGTACTAAAAAATTCAATAACATTATACTTGTGGACTTTACTAGGAAGCTCAATGGTGAACCATAGAAGTCAAAGGACATGCAAAATTATGCTTTTCCGAGTGTTCAATTATCACCTTTATTTTCATACATTTTAGTGTTGAAAATTGAATTTTCATGTTTTTTATTACTAAGCATAGGTTGAAGAAATTAATGTTTAAAAATGCATTTCAGATGATTTTAGTGTAAGCATAGAAGAAAGTAAAAATTAAATTGTATGAATTATTCCATATTATCTTGAAAATTCATTTATTTCATCATATTATTGCAATGCGATGTGCTTAATTAACCAAAATAAAATTAATAATGAACTTTCATAATTGAATTCAATTTATTTCGACTTTTCCAATTTAAGTTAATTAAATTTTTAAAAAAAGTCTTTCATATTGGCGTATTAATCCATCTCGAAAATTATTAATTTTTAAATTAATTGAATAAAATGAAATTCTCGAAAATTAAATGAAATTATTTTGATGCTTTTAAAGCTTTTGACTCATTAATAAAATCAATTTCAGCAAGATAACTAATAAAACGACTGAGGAGCAGTATTGAACTATTATTACGTTTTTCCTTAACATTGGAGATGCACTAAGATCAGTGGTTCTCAAACTGTGTGCCGCGATAAAATTTGATTGCTAAAATTGAGTTTTTATTTCCATGTTTTGTGACTTCAAAAAGGTCATAAAAATCATTAAGTGTGATTCGCGACCAGGAGCGTAGCCAGGAATTTGAAGAGGAGGGGACAAATTTATTTTTTTGTATGGAAAAATTTAAGGGGGGGGGGGGGTGGTAGGATTTTTGTGATTTTTTCATAAAAACCCTAGCAAAATTAAGAAATTTCTATTAACGTTGGGGATATGACCCCCAAATCCCCATCCCCCCCCCCCTGGCTACGCGACTGTGCACGACTATTCAGGTCTGCCGCGAAAAACTTTATTTGAAAAAATGTGTCGTGCACCAAAAAAAGTTTGAGAAACACTGACCTAAATAGTTATTGCTTTTTGGTAAAATATTCGTTAAAAAATCAAGACTCAAAACTGATCAAAATGACCGAAAACAATATAATTCCAGTTAACAAGCTCTGCGCTCTTGTTAAACGTTGAGAATTTCATCTGTATCACCACTTTTACTCCACAGAATCTACGTCAAAATTATGTTTATTCAACCACAACATAAATTGAAAAGGTCGAAATCAATTTTATTTTTAGAGCAGTAATTAAATTTAATTAAATTTAGCTGCGAATCGCCCTAGCGCACCTCTGGATCACAATTGATCTGAATAGGTAAAGGTTTTTTTTTTTTTTTTTTTTAATTAAATTTAATTTACCCTTTTTCATGACGTGTAACAACTGAATCTACGATTTGGAGCTATAAAGTTTTTTTTTCATTCTTATGAAAATCCTTTCGTCTCTAACAACACGCACATGAAACTGACAAACAAATCTCGTTCAAATGATCATCAATTAAAATGTCAATTTTGATGTGTAGTCAAAAGTTGTGCATATTGAGATAGCAAAAAAAATCTAGTTGCTTAAACACACAAACGGATGGTGTGCGGCATCAAATAAAAATATGCGGTGAGTTTTTAGGCTGATTGGTAAATGGAACGCATTCACTCTTTGGTTTGTTTAATATTTTGTTGACCTAAATATGTTTCAAGGAGCTTATTGAAGCTTTAATTGAATTTTTTTTGAATGGGAATGATTCATTAGTGATGTTCGTATTTTTTTTTGTATTTTTCAGGAATAGCATGTACTGCATTTTAGCTTGTAACAAGCTACGCATAAATTTTAAGGAATTTTTGAAATATACAGGATCAAGTATAATAAAACCTCCTATAATCTATCCTTTTTTAAAAAAATGGAAGTCAATAAGTCAATGCGATTTATCACTTTGGCTTGGAAACTCCACTTAGCCAGTTAAATACTCTCTACATTCTATTGACTTTCGAAAAAAAGTCGCTTTTCACATTTTAGGATGAATAAAGTTATAAGCACCGGTACACAAAATTTCTCTCTCTTCTATTTGATAAATCACTTCAATTGCACACTTGTTTCCAGATGAATTATTTCCAAAACTTTTTTTTTATCGCATGTATGTGTTCATATACATTAGAAAGTGCACTTCACAGAGTCAGCTAGTGTGCACAGAAAAAAAAGCTTTATTTTTGTTTATTTTCCCGATACGCAATCTGAAAAAAAGTTTTGCCTTCTTTTAGTCTTCTATTCTATCTAGTTTAATGCAAAATACACAGGAAGGTATGTAGATGCATTGGTGAAATTCACAACACTTCATGAAGGAAAAAGTTTTTCTAGCAAATAAGTTTGTGTATTTGGTTTGTTTGTATGGTTGAGGATGTCGATTCATTTTATATAAAGGAGGACTCAGGATGATTTGGTATTTGAAGTTCGTAACAAACTTTAAAGGGGTTCGGAGGAGCAATGCAGACTTGCGTCATTTCGTATGTTGGCAGTTATGTAAAATTTTGAAAAATTCAAAATTTATTTTCCGTTAAAGCATAAAACAAAATTTTGCTTTAATTAAGCTAAAGATTATGAAGTTTTTCGATCAGTATCACTAATTATGTGATCAGTAAGTTGTTAATCATTGTTTCAAGCAGTTTCAAGTAAGAAAATTCCTAAATTAAGAAAATTCAGTTGAAATTGAAAAATGTCAACAAAAAAATGTTTCTTGATATTCATGATTTTAAAGCTTATCAATGTTCATAAAAAATAACAAGCTTTGATTCTAAGCGAGTTGACAGTAGTTATCATAGCTAAAATGCTAAAAGTTCAGCATAGAATTTTTTAAAGTTTTACCGGTTGAATTGAGTTTAAATTTTCGAAATAAATTTCGAATTTTTTGAAGCCAATTTCGAATTTCTTCGAAATGAAATGACGCAAGTCTGGAGCAATGAGTATTTTTATGGAAAAGGGGGATTATCTTGCATTACGTAACTCAATGACAAACTTTTTTGGAAACTAAGAGGAAAATTAAAAAAATCCTTTGTTCGAGTCATTTTAACCCCCCCCCCCCCCCCCCTTGTAACGTAACTAGTACATGACCTGTTTTATGACTAATGTTATTTAAATTGAGAAATTGCAAGTTTTTGTAAACTAGTATTGAAATATTTATTCTAGTTCCTCTTTCGTCAATCAAATGCCCAAGTCAAGTTGACAAAATTATTTTAAATGTTCTCAAAATTCCACCTCTGAACTTAATTTTTCCAATTGGATTGCGTTCTATTATTTGACCTACATCAACACCCTTACTTGCTCCTCTCTTCTAGTACAAAATCATTGCAGAGTAATTTTTTTTGTGTTCATGACTTTTTGTTCAACATTTCAGATTCTTTTTTTTGCAATTTGGCTTGTGTTTGAAAAAAAAAATGAAATAAAAAGAAAATATGAAAATGGAAAAAATGCAATTTGTATGCTTAGTTCACTTCCACCACTCTCACTGGCGTTATGTCATTCCCATAGTCATCGTATGAATGTGCATGTGCATTGTGGCATCACAAATAAAATTAGAAAATATAAAAATTTTCCACTGTATGTTCCGGTTATGCTTGCTCAATGTGCAGAAATGAATGTGAGATTGTGGAAAATTGTAGGTGAGCAGGAAAATGAGAACACCAAAGAGCGGAGGTTGAAATTAAGTTGGAGCTTTTTTTAGGTCAAAGAGAATGTCAACAGAATTTGTGAATTGCAAGGGTTGGAGGTTCATTAAGGAACTTATGGTTTTTCGAGAAGTGTAGGAATTGTTGCTGCATTACATGCTAATATTTTGACATTTTAAAGCTATTTAAAAGTTTGCATTTAAATTGGAATAATTTTCATCACTAATTGACTTGTCTTTGCATACTTTACAGCACAACAGATTCCACTATTCATTCACGAAACGAACACAATTGTAACATATCAAATGAAAGGATGAAAGCAATTAATTTTCGTGAAGTTGCTTGTCGGTAGATTTACTTCTTGTATTTCCAAAGTGACACCACCAGCAGTGAAATAAATCAACAGCAGAGATTTTACTACAGAAATATCTGAATCAGGAAG